AAAAATCCACTTTCTCTTTCTCTTTTTTAACATTAGAGAAAATGAGATGAATGAAAAAAAAATTCACTAGAAAAAGTGGTGTTCAACTTATAATTTAATATTTAAAGTTCGGTATAATGTCAGAACTAAGAACCTAAGAGATCTATTAGGGCAGTGATCCTCAAATTTTGGGTGCTTGTCAAAACACATATTTCTTTTTAAAAATGTATTTTATTGATGTCAGAGAAGGGAGAGAAAGATAGAAGCATCAATGATGAGAAAGAATCACGGATTGGCTGCCACCTGCTGGGGACTGAGCCCACAACCCGGCATGTACCTTTGACCAGAATGGAACCCGGGACCCTTCAGTCAGCAGGCCAATGCTCTAGCTACTGAGCCAAACTGGCTAGGGCTTAAAAACACTTATTTTTAAACCCCATTTCTAGAGAGTTATTTAATATACATTTTTTTGGCACCTATTATCTCTTAGGCTCTGGGGATATAGTTGTGACTAAGCCAAAAGCATTGTCCCTTTAAAATAAATAATACAAGTGGTCCACATATCATATTTTGAGAAACACATTTTTCCTAACAAGTTTGCTACTGGAATTATCCTGATTTTGATACTAATTTTTTTACTTTGGCATTCAAATAGAGTATGTGTAACAAAATCAAACAGAGGAGTTTATGTTCCAGAATGAGCAAGGTCAGGGCTCCTTAGTCAAGATAGCTGGGCTACTTCCAGTTGCTGTGTCTCTTTGCACAAATTCATGAATCTGTCTAGGCCTCAATGTCAGCATTTGTAAAAGTAGGAATTCAAAAGAGTATCTACAATTTGGGGATTGATATAAGGATTAAATGAGCTAATAGGTATAGTGACTAGTACATGGTAAGTGCTTAAGTAAATATCAATTTTTATTGTATGTCGGTTAATTACTATAATTGTACAAGTGTCCTTGTAAAGTCCCCAAAGGTGGATCTACAATATTTGAGTCAAGTAGAATCATGGGATTTCAGAGGTGGAAGAAACTGCATAGATCATTGAGGTGTTATTATGCTGGGGGGCACAGGGCAGGGAAACTAGATTTAAACTGCTGGAGGAACTCCTGCATTGTCTTGAGCTGTTTTGCTTCACTGAATTCCATGCAAAATTCTAGTAGAAAAAGTCCTGCTGTTAAGAAAAGCTTGGAGTGGAATCCAAGATGACGGCATAAGGTAAACACCTAAATGTAGCCTACCACAATAATTTTAAAACTACAACTGGAGAACTGAGCAGACATCATCCAGAATCACTGGAAAGCTGGCTGAGTGGAAGATCTACAACTAGAAAAAAAGAAAAGGATGCTGAGCCTCAGGAGCTGTGGATATGTAGAGATCTGTGAATGTGGAAAGGGCAGGTGGCTGAAGACGTGGCTAGCTTTCTCATTCGGGAGGAAAACAAAACCTCCCGATTGCACCAAAATTCAGCTCCGATCAGGGAAAAATTGGACTGTCAGGCAAGAAACTCGAGAGCAGTCTTCTCTCAAAAGTGTGCTTGGTCAGCAGCCATTGCCATGGGACTCAGAGAACAGGGTCCTTTTAGGGTGGGGCTGACAGGAAACCAAAGCTTGTCTGTGCCACCCTGAGACTCCGCCCCATCCAAACTGAGCACAGAAGTCCTCCTAGCGGAGACACTGCTGATCCTCACAGCCAATTGGCTTGGAGATGAACTCTCCCTAGTGATACCAACAACAAGCAAGGCTTAACTACAATAAGACTGCACACACAGCCCACAAAGGGCTGCACCAAGAAGTTCCACCACAGGTAACTGGGGAGGCTGAGCTACTGGGTCTTGCTAGGACACCTAGCATGCAAAACCACTCCATCAACTCAGGGAAGCAGCTAAAATGCAGAGACAAAGAGGCAGGCCTCAATTGAAGGAAATGGGGGAAAGCAAAAGACTGGATATAGAGTGAAAAACCACAGTTATAAGGTTTTTCAAGAATTTCCTAGAAAAGGTCGATAAATTAAATGAGACCCTCAAAGATATGAAAAGGGATCAACTAGAAATTAAGCATACACTGACTTAAATAAAAAATATGATACAGACACCTAAAAGCAGACTAGAGGATTGCAAGAATCAAGTCAAATATTTGGAATACCAAGAAGCAAAAAACACTCCTCTGGAAAAGCAAAAAGCAAATAGAATACAAAAAGCTGAAGATAGTGTAAGAAGCCTCTGGGACAACTTCAAGCGTATCAACATAAGAATTATGGGGGTCCCAGAAGAAGAGAGAGAGCAAGATACTGAAAATCTATTTGAAGAAATAGTGACAGAAAACTTCCCCTACTTGGTGAAAGAAATAGACTTACAAGTCCAGGAAGCACACAGAACCCCAAACAAAAGGAATCCAAAGAGGACCACACCAAGATACATCATAATTAAAATGCCAAAAGCAAAAGACAGGGAATATTAAAAGCAGCAAGAGAAGAACAGTTAGTTACCTAAAAGGGAGCACCTATATGATTGTCAGCTGATTTCTCAACAGAAACTATGCAGGCCAGATGGGCATGGCAAGAAATATTCAAAGTGATGAATAGCAAGAACCTACAACCAAGATTACTCTACCCAGCAAAGCTATCATTCAGAATTGAAGGCCAGATAAAGAGCTTCACAAATAAAAAAAAGCTAAAGAAGTTCATCATCACCAAACCAGGATTACATGAAATAATGAAGGGTATGTATTTTTTAAGAAAAGAAGAAGAAAAAGGTAAAGGTAAAAACTATAAACAACAAATATGTAACTATCCACAAGTGAATCTAAAAACCAAGGGAATAAAAAAACTGATGAGCAGCATTAATTGGTGAATACAATAGAATCAGGGGCATAGAAAGGGAGTCGACTGACAATTCTCGGGGGAAAAGGGGAGTAAGGGATGCAGGAAGAGACTGAACAAAAATCATACACCTATGGATGACAGTGGGGAGGGGGTAAGGGCAGTGGGTGGGGTAGGAACCTGGTAGAGGGGAGTTATGGAGGGAAAAAAGAAGTACAATTGTAATAATCTGAACAATAAAGATTTATTAAGTTAAAAAAAGAAGAAAAAGAAAAGAGAAAAGCTTGGAAACCACTAGCAATCCAAATCCCTCACCGCAGAGGAGAAACTGGAAAGAGCAGTACTTGTCTAGGGTTGCACAGATGGTGTCAGTATAATGCAGTTACGTTTCTAGAATTGTGCAGGTTTCTTTGAAAAGAAGAAATTGAAATATGTTTAATTATGGTCTCAATCTCTCTGTAGATAAAGATGGAGTAAAAATACACAAAACATTTGGCATTCTGATCTGTTATCTATTCACTTGAAACAAGTGGAATGTGGACATTCTTCCTTTATAGGTTAAATAGATTCCCAAATATCATGCAGTGAATTCTCATTTTGGCTGTAGATGTAGAGAAGAATAGAGCTTTAAAAAGAATTAAAAATTTAATCTTTAGGAATTATAAATTCTAATTATGATAAAATTCTAATTATGATAAAATTCATAATGAGAATTTATTTTTTAAAAATATCATGAAAATATGGAATTTATTTGAAAAGAAAAACATACTTTCCATTTTTCCAAAATAAAGCAGTATCATTCATACTTTCTATCTTGTTAGAGCAGAACCTTTTTAACCATATTGCTGAGAACATGGTGTTCTGGCAAACAAAATCCTTTCTTTTCATTTTAACCCATAGTATTGAAAAATATTAATATGTACTAGCCATGTTGTTCTGCTTTAGGGATTGATAATGAACCTGGCTTAATGTTTCTTTTATAACAGAGACTCTTGCATTGTCTTGGATAATTTTTTCTAACATTAATTTTCATTGCACAGTACTATGGGTACAGGTGTAACAGGAGAATATAAACTATAAGAGTAAAAGAAAAACACCCAAATCTCCCTCATATGAGTTCGTTATTACTTAACTTATTTTATGAACTAGAAGGGATATATTCTCTATTGAGATTCTGATTATTCAAGGTTTAATAACTCTGAAATCACCGACTTTTTCCTTCTGTTTTACAAAGACTAATGAAGGGATCATAGAATATCTTCATTGTTTCAAATTTTAGTTCCTGGAAGCATTTGAATAATGTAGGGATTACTGTAATCTATGTTTTAAATTACATTTTAAAAATATCAACAAAATCATTCTTTTATTGACAAAAAGTCCTGTGTTTAACGACCAATTCACTCCAGAACACCAAATAAAATATAAAGAGCAAGACATGAGAACAGTAATATTTACACATTTAATATGTTTTGTGCTAATTTTCAATATGTTTTTTCACAAACTGATGACTTTAAACACATTTTTATATTTATATGATGGATAATTCTCAGTTTTCTTCAGTTTATTTTCCATTGGTTTTAGTGTTCGAAATTTTTCTACATTTCATAGGATTTAAAAATTTGCATTTTCTCTTTTGGTTTCAAAATCAAATAGAATATCTTTACATAACATGAGTATATTAGTTATTTGTTTACAAAACTTCAACATAAGACTTGAGAAGCCAATTGAGAATATCCTTCTAATGCAAGGCAGATCACTTTGAACATCCTCTGGGTAGCTAGCACTGACTGACTGAGAAGTACAAATACCAATTTAGAAAGTTCCACTGTAAACAACTGCCAGTCACAATCTCATTTTAAGAGTAAGATTCTAAAATTTAAAGGGGCTTTGTCTAATACGAGTAAATGTAAAGTAAAATTTAGCAACTAATGATAAATAAATCAACTTATAACCACAGTTATTTAACAGTATAACCTAGAACACGAAATTGCCCATGTTTAAAATAAGTTCTATGTCTTGAAGGAAGACTTGTGTTTTCAGATCGGAACGAAGGAAGGTTTTGTAACTGGGATCCCTGAAGAAGTGCTTCTCTATTCTGAATTCCCACATGGTGAGGCCCAACGGAGTGCTTGTTTATACCTTGCAACAATAAAATAATAATACATTTTTTATAACTCTTTTTGATTCCCCCCAGAATGGCAAAGATTTATAGTTTCATACAATGAATTTTATCTAAAAGCACTTTATTACACAGTTATGTGGAACCTCTTTGATAAAGCTTATTTTTTTTTCCTTCCCAAATATTACAAACAATCGTAATTAAAATTCTCCTTCTGAATTTAAATAGGGGTCAAACACTTTTTTTTTAAATGAGATTTTTGGTCTCAACATTTTGATTCCCATGGGTAAAGAGGAAGATATGTGGAACCGTTCTCCATGCTTGGTGGGAGAAACTCTGTTTAGAGTAACTGTGCAAAAGTTGCAAACCAGCTCAACTTTGGAGAGTCTTGAAGTTTTAAAATCACAACTTTGGTTTTAGTCTGACTGGATTATTCAACAATCTCTACATTTGTTAAGCTGCAGACAGAGGGGAAGTAGTTAAGATGTCAATATCTCCTTTACTCTTGATTATAATTTCATATACTTAAACTTTAAATATGAATTGCTTTCCCTTTTTACACAAGTTATAAAAATAAGAGGCCCTGTTTACACAGTTTGCATTTTTATGAAATTTGCAGTTTGAAAAAAAAGCTTTTTTAAAAAGTGTTAATTAATGCTTTTCTTTGAATATGCTGTAACCTTAGAATTTTTTTCTGAAATAGTTTCTGAATTTAACCCACTAAACATTTGAAGATAGAATTTTTTATTTAGCACTAGAATAAAACATACTAAGAACTGAAAGAAAAAAAGTTTTTTTTCTGGTTCCACTTGATTTCCCTTGTATGTGGCACCCCCTTTGTGATAGCTATCAATATTATATTTAAATTTTATATATTGACAAAATTCAACCTACCTCTGTAAGCACTGTGCCATTCAACAGTACTACTATTAAATTTACATACCACAGTTTAAATTACATCCATTTCAGGAGTGGTAAAATACTAAAACTCAAGTGTCTAACTGCTTTACTAGAATGAGTACAATTTACAAATACAATAATTACATTTTAAAACCATAACAATATTACACCTAGAAGTAAATACTGTAGGACTGGTCATCATGGTATTGTGTGAGGGAAATCACTGCTGAAAAGTCATGGGCATTTCCAGCAGATTTATCCCAAGTGAAGATTTTGATTTGTTTTCATCAAATCAAAATTGAAACCTGTTTCTCATAAACAGTTCTCCATTATAGGAATCTTCCAAATCCTTGCACAAGATTTATTAGTTGTCTGCCAAGTATTTTCCTGTAAAACAAAATACATACCAACAGGTTACCTACTATATAATAATCAATAATGTGATTATTAAATGGCTAACATTTCTATTCTTCCTACCTTAACCCTAGGAGCCAAATAATGCATACTTGATGGCTGTAATACTAATTATAAGACATAACACACTTTTTGGGCTCTTAATTTTCCAGACCAGCTAGTTGCCTTTTCACATTTCCATATATAAACATTTTTTCACAAATTTTGTTTTGCTCAGAATAGGTTGGGAGATTTGTTCCTGGATGTGAGAATCCATCTTATTGCAGAAAGAGTGGCCATATAATTACTTTCCAATCTGGGTCATTTCTGAGAGTGAAAGGAGTGTAATTAGTAATTATGTCATTATAGCAGGCACAAAACCCAGAATTTATCTCAACAAATCACTGACAGGTACAGTCACCCCAGTGCTGGGGAATCCCCTGCCAACAAATGACCTTGTGTGCCCAAAACCCATCTCATGGTCACATCAGCTCATGGGCAACAAGGTCGGATCTCTGAGGTAGATTCTTTAAGATTGCTGTTAAAGAGGGAAATAGAGCCACTAAAATCTCAGCTAAGCCTGGCTAGTCTAAAATCTATGAAGATTGGAGAAGAAAAGTTTTCAGGTAAGAAATACAAGGCAAATAACATTTACCTTGCTTGTTGTCAATGTAACAAAAGTAGGATTTACTTCATTAACCTCAGTGTGCACATCTATATAATGGGAATGATTAATTAGTTCCACCTCAGAAACAGAACCAGAGCCAGGGCCATAAGTATCCAGGGCTTTCCTAATTTCTAATTCCAGTCCACTGTCATAGTTTTTCTTCATTCAACAATTGGTTTGCTTTCTACTGAGATCGGAATTGGGAGTTGGGAGTGGGAAAGAGGAGTAGAGAAAAGATGAGGAAATCACAGACCTTTTCTTCGGAAGGAAGAGTTGCTGAGGCAACATTATTTTTGCAAACGAAACTCACAAGATACACACTTACCTGCAGCAAACCTTTTTTTGATGAGTGAGAATCGATAGCCTGCTCCAACAAGTTCAATGTCACAGCCAGAAAGGGTGCTTCCTTCACTTGTAAACTGCACAACCAATGGGGAAGGTTTGCTTGGGCCTTCAGATAACTGAAATCTTGCCAATAAAGAACCCACACCTATGAAAAGAGTATTATATAATTGCAAGACAACAGTCAACACCACATTCTGGATATGATTTTAGAAACTGTATTCAAAATTAAATACACAAAATCTAACTTGTTAGAAAATAGTATATGTTTCAGGGACAAAATGGTGATGAATAAGATTTATCATTACATATGATGACTGACTCCTACAGCATGCAGATTTAAGTGTAATTCAGCCAAACAGTATTAAAAAATTTGGAAGTTTGCTACTCGGAAGGCAACGTATTCTCCAACCTATGATTGATATCAGAGGAAAGTAAAACATATCTAAACTATCAGGGAGTGTGAGAGTTGATACAGAGTGGAAATATGCCTAATTAAAAGCTCTCTTTTTTGTGTGTGCTGAAAATATGGTCTGTTTGATGTGGGGTTTGGATCAAAAAAGGGGAAACAGAAGATTCATTGAAGAATTACTTGCTTTTATTGGTTGAAACACATATATACCAAAATGCAGTGACATATTTTGCTTGCTTCTAGAATAAAGTGTATTTTGGTTAAGTTACCTGATACCTGCAAGTTATTTCAGCCTCAGAAATTAAATAAAGTAAGCATGTGATGACATTACCTCCATTTTCTGACTTCTGAGAAATATCAGGAATTTTCCACAATATTCTTTGTTGTTCAGCATTCCTAAAAATAAAATTGGTAAAAGACTTTTGCATAAGCAAGGTTTTTTGTTTAATAGATGCCTTATTTTTTTTTCCAGATAGTGTTAAATTAAAAAAAAAAAAAGGATTTTGAAGATTCTAGCTATAATTTAAACATTATCTGTTTATCTCTCTATCCACATATAAATTCTCTCCTTTCCTGTTCCTTATTGTAACCGACCACAACACTATCGGATAGATATTTATAGGCCAATACAGTTAAGTTTTCAAAACACATCTACTGAAAAGATAGATGAGAAGGGCTAGTTCATCTGTTCAGGTCATTGACATTGGAGCTGTTATATGACTGACATTCATTTTTAAAAAATGTTCCATTTTCTGCCTTTGACAATCACATGGAAAACCCAGAACATTTTTTCTAGGAGCTGCCATTGCTACTCAGCGCCTATTCAGTCTCTGTTCCTGGAGGCTATAAAGCGAAACGCTCCACTGCTCAGACTCCCTTGTGTTTAGGGCCATGGGTGCAGGTTAGACTCCACCATCCACATGCACTGCCCGAGATCAGAACAGAAGGGAGAGAGGCCTTTCTCCCGCTGCTTTCTTGGCTGTTTTCTGCTGCCAGCCACCTGAGATGTGGGGATGTGACCACAGTGCCCCAGTCCAGCCTGCAGTTTGTGGGTGTTGAAAGGCAGTTAAGGTAGAGCTGGTAGGAGCTTCCTCGTCCTTCACCTGAGAGACAGTGGGGTTCTGAAATTCAGTGGCTGCCCTGGCAGGCTCCTGATGTTCCTTCTTGGTTATGGCTGAGGTGAGCTGCTTCTCTGGCCAGCGGATGCTATGTCTTCCAGGAAACATTCCTGGAGATCAGCCTAAAGCTTGTTTTTCTAGTACTTCCACCATGTATGTGTGGGCATCTAAATCCCTGTGCTAAGCCGTTTGTTTAAAATAGCTGCGGTGGTTTCTGTTTCTTTCCCTGAGCCTGACACTCAGGCCTGCTGTGGTCTGCAGGAGGAAACAGATGCTGAGGAGTCAGGGGCCCGTCTGTCCAGAGGAGCTCTTTGGGGAGGCAGAAGGGGGTTGGGCCTCCTTACCAGACTGCCGGGGGGAGCACGGCCTGGAGCTTGGTTACCCCTCCGTCGATGGGGACCAGGAACTGCACATTGTTGAGGGCCACTGCGGTTGTCATTGCATCCGTATTGTATTTGTAATCTATGCGCAGGTCGGTGCTGGTGGGCTCACACCGCCAGCTCACTGCCAGGTTCAGAGGTGTGGACTGAATGCCCTGGGCGGACACCTTGCCAAATGACAGGATAGAGAAGAGTTAAGCCTCCACCATTAATCGGAAACAAGCCAGAAGCTAGGATTATCTCCCATAGGAATGTTCTTAGATATGAAAACGTCATCATGCTGTTTGTGCTGCTCACAGATAGATGAGCGCTCAGTGAAAATTGCCATGAAGGGTGCCATGTGAGGGAGAGCTGGTGCTTTGGGGAAGTTGTTACAGATTAAAAAAATAAAACCAAGGACTAAACTCTCCAGCACTGTGGAGTTTAGAATACAATTTATGTCAGTTAAGGAAGTTAGGGGCTGAGGCCTAGGAGTTAGGCAGGCTAGGATGTGAGTTCTCATTGTCAGGTACAAGCTGAGTGATCTTGGACTAGTTACTAAACTTCTCTATGCCTCAGTTATATCCTCATCTGCCAAATGGGAATGATAACAACAATGACAATGACAATTACCCATAGATTTCCCGTGAAGATGTTCATGGGAAACACTCAGCAAAGGGCCTGGCACAGAGTCTGTGACCAGTGTTTTAATTAATGTTACCTATTAATATTCTTATCATATTTGCCCTTCACAACAAACCAGTGAATTAGACAAAGCAAACCTGTTACTCTTCGGATTTGTCAAAATAAAAACTTGGTCCTCTAACTGGAAGTGCAGCATTCAGTTGTCTATGTCAATTCTAGTTAGAATCAACTGTGAGTCTGACCAAGGGAAAACCAGGTTTGAAGAATCAACTAAAATATATTTTATCTAAAGCCAATAATATCAACTCGAGTTTTAAAGGTCCACAATGAAAAAAATCACAATGTTATTATTCCTTGATTGTTCAATGTGACAATGAATAGCTCTAGGAAATTGTCCTTTTCTAAGTACGCCACACTGCAGGAGCGAGTGGGTGGTGTCTATGCCCTTGCAGTTTGAGTGATGGAGTATGAGTTTTGCTGATTTTGAAAACTATAAACAGCTCATTATTGACTTTGCAATGTCTGCACATACGGACACCATGGTGAAGTGGCCTGAGGCAGAACCAAGCCCAGAAATGGGTCATTGCTGTTTTTTAAATAAAATGACTGGTATGGCTTTTGAAGACAATTTCAGTTAGATAATCATTATTATTTTTTAAACTTTAAATATTTTTAACAAGACAATCCTCTGCAAATGAACTTTTACTTAAAAATTTATCAGTTAAGATGGATCAAAAGCGGTGTTTCTGTACTCGGTCCTCAGCAGTTCCAGCTTCAGAGTGGTTCTGTTCAGCCAGGTGCTTGCGGCTAAGTGAGGGTGTGTTTTCATTGTCCTTATTATTGGGGGATGATACTGGTGACCAGAAACTAAACATGCTGCAATTTGAGGGCAATCCCACAAGAAACACTAGTTGTGCCTCCCACCCAATTCCTTGCATAATTGAAAACAACACAATTCAACAAGAGATTTTTCAGAGCACACTTTAACACAGAACAACAGGCCTAGGGCCACTTATCTTTTCCAAAGTACTTTGAAATACAATGAGCTCCTCATACAACCTATAAAATATCTAGGTAGGAATCATTATTATCTTTAATTACAGAGGAGGAAACTGAGGCCCAGGGAGATCAAGTGCCCAAGGTCAGTAGCCAGTAGGAAGGGGACTTAATTCCAGAATTCAGTTTCTTGCCAATGTTAATATTTACACTCTAAACTCATATTGCAATAGGTGATTCTATCTATTTTCTAAGTTCACTTAATGATAAATATGAAGAATGTGGCTGGCCTGCAAACCACCACAGGCCCCTACCCTAGCCCAGGCTGCCCCTTGCCCCAAGGGAACACCCACCCTGATCCGGACACCTTTCAGGGAAAACCAGCTGGCCCCCACCCATGCACCAGGCCTCTATCCTATCTAATAAAAGAGTAATATGCAGATTGACCATCACTCCAACACACAAGATGGCTGCCCCCATGTGATCAAAGATCCTGCCCCCATGTGGACACAACCTGGCCACCACAAGATGGCCAGCAGGGAGAGGAGTTGGAGGCACCAGGCCTGCAAGGGAGGGCAGTTGGGGGCGATCAAACTTGCAGGGAGGGCAGTTAAGAATGACCAGGCTGGCAGAGGAGGGACGTTGGGGGCAAACAGGCTGGCAAGGGAGCAGTTAGACATCAATCAGGCTGGCATGGGAGTGGTTAGGGGGTGGTCAGGCTGGCAGGCAAATGTGGTTAGGGACAATCAGGAAGACAGGCAGATGAGCAGTTGGGAGCCAGAAGTCCTGGATTGTGAGAGGGATGTCCAGCTGCCTGTTTAGGCCTGATCCCACTGGACATCCCTTGAGGGGTCCAAGATTGGAAAGGGTACAGGCTGGGCTGAGGGATACCCCTTCTCCCCCCCGTGCACAAATTTTATGTACTGGGCCTCTAGTCTATCTATATAAAAGCCAAGCAACCGGCCAACTGGCCGACCATTCAGCTGGCCAGTAGCTTTGATGAACACTGACCATCAAAGGGGGCAGATGCTCAACCCAGGAGCAAAAGCCACAGGTATGGAAACATGGAACAGGCCGATGAATCTCAGAGAGACGGGAGAAGGGGGAGGGCGGGAAGAGATTAAGCCAAAAGCTTGTACGCATGTTAGAGGCTTGGTGCATGGATTGGTGCACTAGTGGGGGTCCCTCGGCCTGGCCTGTGGGGATGGGGCCAAACCTGGCTCTTTGACATCCCCTGAGGGGTCCTGGACTGCAAGAGGGCACAGGCCAGGCCAAGGGACCCACCAGTGCACGAATCCATGCACTGGACCTCTAGTTGATAATAAGCTTAGACAATCCAATTCTTACAGAAAAAACAAATCCATTTGCGTTTTTGTAAAAATCATATATATATACTTCACTTTCAATGGTTTCCTTATGATATTATGAGTGCTTTTCAGTCCATAGGGTGTATTATAAATACTTGGAGAACTTGAGACAAATACAGATATATGAGTTATATCCTGAACCAATAAAGTCAAAATCTCCACAAGTTTCAGGGTCCAGTAGACGTCTATGTCTGTATCTGTGTCTGTGTCCACATCTCTTTATCTAGTTCACATGTGTCAAACACAAGGCCCGCGGGCCAAATCCGTCCCGCCAGGCCTTGCAATGTGGCCCGCACCGCGCTGTCATCACTGCACTCCGCTGCGTTTCCATCACAATGACAGTTTATGACTGTTCAGTAAACCATTCGGCCCGCAATTTAGGCTGGATTTTAGATTTTGGCCCCTTCTCTGATTGAGTTTGACACCCCTAATCTAATTCTATATTTACAAATAGGTTTTACTGTAGATATCTATGTATATTCTATATAATAAAAGCCTAATATAAGTGTCCAGTTATCTGGTTGTCCATTCAACCAACCCAAGTGAAATATGCTACTGATATGCTAAGACCGCTCAACCACTTGCTATGACATGTGCTGACCACCAGGGGGCAGATAGTCGACTGGTTGACCAGTTGCTATGACATGCACTGACCACCAGGGGGTAGATGCTCAACACCCCTGGTGGGTCATTGTGCTCCCACAGGGGGAGCACTGCTCAGCCAGAAGCCCTGAGCCAGCTCATGGCTGATGAGTGCAGCGGCAGTGCCAGGAGCCTCTCCCACCTCCACAGCAGTGCTAAGGATGTCCCAGACTGTGAAAGGGCTCAAGCTGGGCTGAGGGACTCCCCCGCTCCCCCCCCTCCCCCCCACCACCACTACCACACACACACACAACTTTCTTGCACTGGGCCTAAAGTCAATATATAATTAGCACAAGTTCAGAACCAGTATTCATTTACAAGCTCTCTGGTGATTATTGAGTTAGGTTTAAGTTGCACTAATTTCTAGTAAAATACAACTTTAAAAATAATGTTTTTTCCTTATCTTAAGAAAAATAATTTGAACATATTTAATAACAAAAATTGTAATACATTAAAGATAACCTAGGTGATAAAGTGACTGGGAATTGATAGGTACTCAGGCTATATAGAATCCTGGCTTGAAAGCTTATTTACTAAGCCAGTAATAATTTGGGAGGAGGGCAATCCTGGACACAAGAAGAAAATTATTTTATACTATATTGTATTGTACCAACCTGTCTTTTAACATCAAATTATTTCTTACCATGAATTTTAATAGAATTTATTTCACAGGACTACCACATTAGAAAAAAACACCAGAGTACTTACATTTAACAATTTAAAATAAGACATTTTAAAATAGTAATAGTCTTAACAAAATACAGTGAACAAGCTTATCAATACTTATAATCTTAACTGATGTAATTTCCTGCAACTTCATTTTGTGGCATGTTTTTCTAATATTTAAATAAAATGTTTTACTTGTAAGTTTAAAGTAAGAATATGTATTAATATTCTTGTCACTAAATCTGCAAGTAATCTTTTAAAATTTCTATTTTCTTATAATTTTAGCTTTTAAATAATATTAAAAGGAATGTTATTTTATTTACTTTTATTTAATGCTAGGTATGTTAGAATATACATTTTTAATGTAAAAACCACACCTTGGCCATATAAATAGGCTTACCTGATATTTAAGCATGTCCACATTATAATATGTAGCCTGGGGTTTTTGTTCAGACACTTTCTTTAGGTGAGTCATCAAATTTGGCATGTTTACCCAGAATTCCTTGCTATTGGCATCACTTTGGGTATTATCGCTATTCAATTGGGAAGAAAAAAATTATTATCATCCTGACACAAAGAATCATCTTAGCAAATTGCAGTCTGATTTCTACATCCATCTTCGACAATTTGTAGATTATATTATTAACAATAATATGGTTTCAAGTCAATAGTAATTCTGAATGGTATTAAGTTAATAGATTAATACCCACAGAAAGGCATTATTGCAGTTTTATAAATCTCAGTGAGTACCCGGTAGTATTAACCAATCATAATGATAATTGGTTGCTTTAAAGAGTGAATTATTTATTAATCCAAACTTAATAGCTCTTTCTACTTCACCAGTTTCCTCTGACTTAGTTAGTTAATGCAATCAAATAGCTGAATCCATTGATTTTTTTTTTTTTTGTATTGACTTGAACAGTAGTATCTCAGAAATTACTGAGTTAAATATTTGGTCATATGTCTTTGTTGCCAACTGTGGCAAAAAATGATGATAGTAAAATTACCAAGCTATCTTTTCAGCATTCACAATATATCACCTAAGAGCATCTAAGTCATAAAAAAGTCACTTTTCTTACAAGATGACCCTGTAATTTAAATGATAATTACCATGGTAGTTACACTAGACAAGCACAGTCTTGATGAACTGAGGAGTTTTGTATTCTTATGAGAAGCATTAGCTTTGCTCAGGTGCCTGCCCACAGGTGACCCACCTACAATAATATAGCAATATCTTGAAAATGCTCTTATCAATGACAAAAGTCACATAAGCATGTGAAAAGCATTCTCTCACTTCCCACATAATGAGGAAACTGAAAACCCAAGTGATTCAGAAACTGGACATACAACTCAAGTTTAATGACATTTCACTTTCAGGATATTCTCTGTCAAACAGTAGTTATCATTTTTTGAGCACCTATTATGTGCTAGGCACTCTGTTGGACACCTTAGAAACATTTCATTAAAATCTATCTGTAAAGGGAGAATTATCTTCCTTTTGAAGGATGAGCAAATGTTATAAAAAGAGAAAATTAGAGACTAGGAAAACAGAAGAGTGGCGGTGATAATGTTATAAAAGCAGGTCACAAGTAAGCTGTCGGAAGTCTAACAAATCAGAACAGCTCCACCAAAAAAAAAAAAAAAAATCAGAGCCTTGAAACTGCTACTGTTCTGTTCAGAGGGAGTAGTTTGGGTAGGGAGGGTAGCCAAGTCTCAGCACGATCTATGTGGTTCTGCGGGGCCCTGGTCTAGGCAGTTGAGGACACAATAAAGCTATGTAACTCAGGGCATGTAGGAAGAGAATCCTGGCCTCCGAGACTTTGCCTCTAATCAATCTGAGGTAAAAATGCTGATTCAGGCTGTTTAAAGTTTTATTATCTAAAAACACCCAAGCTACCCAGAGCTTCCAGAGCTGTAGCTACACAGCAAGGCAGCAGATAGTAATGGAGAGTCAGTGAAATGTAGTAATTTTGCTTAAACTGGAATAGCTAATAGGAATGGGAGTCAGGATTCCAGTCCAGGTCAGTGTTACTGTAGGTCATACTTTCACACTATACTAAACAGAGGCACTCATGTCAATGTAATTATGTTTCACAGAAAAGATTTTCATGTTCATGTGAAGAGTAACGCACAATTCAAATATCATTTGACTTTAAAGATTCTAATACAATAACATTTTATTCCTTTTATTGGATTCATTTTCCACTATCCTTATCCATTGTCTACTGATGATAAGTAAAACGGACAATAAATAAGTTGTCACTAATAGATATTTTATTGCTCTAAATCTCTTCCCAGCCACTTGAGATAATGGGCCATTAAAACGCATATGTGCACAGATGCACAGTCAATCACAAAACACTTGGGCAGCTGTAAAAGTTCTGAGTTTGAATCTACACACATATCTGAGCAGCAGTAATTGCTAAGGTTTATCCCTCCCGTATCTGAGAATGAAGTGCTAAGCTACACACATCTCTAAAAAATTGTGCAAAATATATTTACCAGCAGAGAAGTTGGGGATTTGGCAGGACGTGTTCTAACCTGCTGAAATTTATCACTCGGAAAGTCAGGGCAGCTGGTGATGGGTTGTTGGCAAAGTGTCTGGTGATGCCAGCAGGGAAGGACAACACCATTTCTCCAGTAATCTTCACAATACATCTGGCACATCAAAACACATGAGAGGAAAGAGAGGAAGCACAGATCAGTATGCTGTGAATTAAAACAGTTGTGAAAAAGAACTGACTTATGCAACAGATGAAAGGTAAGCTCTTGTAATTCCACTCTCAATATAAATCATTTTTAAGACTCAGTGGTTTGTTTTAAAATTATCCAAAAAAGTGAGTGGCTATTCCACTGAATGTCTTTTAAAACTGAAAGAAGAAAAGTGCAGCTTTTCTTTTGTAGAAGAATCTACATGTTCCCATTACAAATAGCATCATCTATTTTGATGGTTCGTTCTCTCTCTCTTTGATTTCTGAAGTTTTGACAGCATATTCAAAGATATTAAATTGCACAATGCTATCACATTATTCACTGGGTCTTATTTTAGTTCTCTGAGGGACATGATTGATGCATTGAGCATGTTCTTTCATGTACCCTTGAGGTAAACTTAAGCTTCTGACTTAACAAATCTGCATTCCATTAACTTATCTACTTGGTTGAAATTGTTATATCAGTTAACATATAAGTTCACATAGTAGGATGATAATTTTCAAGGAAGAATAATTCTTTTTTAAAGGCCTTTATTGAGATATAATTGACATATTATATATAAACTACTGGCCCAGTGCATGAAATTTGTACATGGGGGAGGGGGTGTTCTCTCAGCCTAGCTTGCACTCTCTCCAACTGGACATCCCTCTTATAATCAAGGAACCACTGGCTCCTAACTGCTCACCTGCCTGCCTGCTTGATTGCCCCTAACCTCTCTGCCTGTCTGCCTGTTAGCCCCTAACTGCCTCTGCCTGCCTGATTGCCCCTAACTGCCTCCCCTGCCAACCTGATCTCGCCCCCAACTACCCTCCCTGCTGGCCTGATCACCACTAACTGCTTCTGCCTCGGCCCCCACCACCATGACTTTGTCTGGAAGGAAGTCAGATGTTTGGAAGGTAATCAGTTGACCTGGTCTAATTAGCATATTACCCTTTTATTAGTATAGACTAGAGGCTCGGTGCACAAAATTTGTGCATGGGGGGGGGGGGGTCCTTCAACCCAGGGTGCACCCTCTCCAATATGGGACATCTTGAGGGATGTCCAACTTTTGGGATCGGGCCTAAATGGGCCGTCGGACATCCCTGTCACAATCTAGGACTGCAGGCTCCCAACTGCCCTCCTGCAGGCCTGGTCCCCCCCAAAATGCTCTTCCCTGCAGGCCTGGCTCCCCCAACTGCCCTCCCCTGCAGGCCTGATTCCTCCCCTTCTCCCCAACTTCCCTCCCCTGTATGCCTGGTCCCCTCCAACTGCCTTCCCTTTCAGTCCTGGTCTCGGCAAACTGCCCTCTCCTGCTGACCTGGCCTCCACCAACTGCCCTCCTCTGCTGGCCTGGTCACCCCTGCTTGCCTGATTGCCCACAACTGCCCTCCCCTACAGGCCCAATCAGCCCCAACTGTCCTCCCCTGCAGGCCTGGTCACCCCCAACTGCTCTTCCCTTCCAGCTATCTTGTGACAATGTGGTGGCAGCCATCTTGTGACATGAGGGTGTGAGGGTCAATTTGCATATTACCTCTTTATTATATATTTCAGTCAATTTTTGTATAATATGTGAGGTATGGATTCAGATTCACTGTTTGTTTTTTTAACACTTAAAATGTTTTATTGACTTTAGGTCAGCAGGAATAATTACCTGCATTTATACTTTTTAAGGTATTTCGCCTCATTGAAAACCAAGACAAATATTACATTATAGATGTGGGATTTTCATGTGTTTGCTGCTATGGATTGAGAAAATGTCCAGCTCTTTCCTACAATGTTTCAGGTTTATAACTCATCAACAAAAGGTGCATGCCCCAAATTTCCACTTGCTACCATTGACTTCTGGCCAGAAATAAACTTCTTTGTAGTATTTATAACGTGTCAGCTATTGAGTCAATCTGTTGAAGGACTATGAATGGTGGCACGTACAAGCCAGCAATGAGAGCCCGAGACCTGACTTCATCCAGGAAACCTTCAAAATACTCCACTGACATTAGGTACCCAGCTTTCAGCCTGTTCTGTGCAGCCTGGACATCTGTACTGGAAAGGTTTCCTTGAACAATTGCTTTGACTTGGTTGTAGGCGGCCTTGATAACATCTTCAGCAGCTGCAGCCTGCGAGATAGTATAAATCCCAAAGAGTCCAGAATCCAAGTAACTGGCATTAAAAGCAGAAATATCAAATGGCTGGTGTATCCCCTTGGCAACAGCTTGGCACAGAGGGCTGGTGGCATTGCTGCCTTGCATGACATGAGGACATGCTGGAGAACACTAAATGCATTTGCTTCTGGACTTCCTATGGCAGCAATTTCTACTACAAAGGCAGCATGAACAAGACTGTCTCCTTTCTGCTCTTGAATCTCACCTCCATGTATCTGTCCTTTGCGCCTGATAAACCAAGCCCACCCCTCATGCTCAGAAACCATTCAGCAATTTGCTTCAGAACAGATGACTCACACCAAGTCCAACCAAAGCCATTCTTGCACTTGTAAAATGGTTCTGAACATAGTGATGCAACTCATCTGGTGTCACCTTTCCAATCCTATAATCTAGACAACACAAGAAATTAGCCAAGGCATTTTGGTAAGCTGCAGCATGCAGATTTTCAATATAAGCCTGTGTGTTCTGAAGAGCCACAGCTTTGTCAATCCTCAGCTGAGACTGAAGGGCAGCTACCTCCCTTCAGTACAAAATTCAGGTGCTTTGGTGACATTGAGCAGGAACTCCATTAGAATTTCCATGTCATCCTGCAGGCATTCCACAGTTAGGCCATGTTTTCCCTTGTTAAAGTCACACTTCATTTACCACCAATTGTTTCAGTTCCAGGGGTTATCTGAAAAGATGATGCTCCTTTTGTAGTCAGACTGGACTACACGACGAAGCAAATGAGAAGTCCTCGTACCTACTGCCTGTTTAATGAACAAACCAATTCTTGATGCAGGAGCATAATTTTCCAGAGATGCAATCACTAAACCATTTGGTAATTTGGTAAAGTCGAGGTCCTGGGGATGTATAGGCCCTCATGCAGGGGCAGTTATGGCCTTTACTTTGGGAACAACTCTGAGGGAATAAAATCTCTTGAAGGACTTGGCTCTGCTTAGCAGTTTCATGGCCCCAAATTCCTCTGACCAACTGTCACTGCGGCTGAAAGGCGAGGAACATGGTGGCCGACCCAGGTTCACGTTTAGTATGTGGCTGTGGATATCTAGCTGTTCTAGCACCACCTGCTCAGAAAAGATAGTTCTTTCTTCACTCAATTTCTCCAGTTGGCAGTTTTGTTGACATTCAGTTGTGCCTATATGTGTAGACCTATTTCTGGATTCTCTGTTCTGTTCCATTGATCTATTTTGTTTGCCTTTATATCAATACTACACTGTCTTTATACTATGGTTTTATTATAGACATCAAGTAGTGTTAGTCCACCAAATTTATGCTTCTTTTTCAGAGTTTGTTTGGCTATTGTAGGTCCTTTGCATTTCCATATGAAATTTAGAATTACTGTGTCAACTTCCACATAAAATCAATGTAGCTCCAATTCACCTTTTACTGCTGATCTAAAAAAAAGTTATAATGGGCCCTTTATAAGTTTTTTCTCTGCCAACAGGCTTTGTCATTAGAGGGCGCTGGAAAGACATTGCAGGAAGATGGGATTTTCCTCCTGGTTCCAGCATGCTTGCTAGGCGGGCTCCTGCAGTATACAGGGCCTATCTAGTGCCAGGTGCCGGCAGTGAATGTGTTTCCCTCCAAGCATGGGTATCGCAGCCCATGTGGCTTTGCTAGTGCCTCATAGCACAGAAGCTTACTTAGCATCTGACCCTGTAGTGCATGTAGCTGGGCTGCCCCAGTGCCCAGGTCCTGCAATGCAGTGGGTCTTTCAGCTCCAGGCTCCTGCCATGTATGCCCCTTCTCCACAGCTAGCTCCTGCAGTGCACAGTGGCAATATCTACTGGCCATTAGCTTCTGCTGACACATGCTCAGTCAGCTCTGCAGTGGAGTGTGCCTCAGTGACACACTTCCCCGTGAACAGTGGGAATCAGCAGGGCTCTCCCCAGGCCGTGGCCTGGACACCCTAGAGAAGTAAGCTAGGCAATCACATGGCACCCCTACCTTCTCCAGGGTAATTGTCCTTGCAAATCAACGTTTCACATATTTTGTGTGCTTTCAAGGTATTTTGGAGGTATTTTCGAGTAGAAGGGTAAATCAGTTACCCACCTTGGCCAGAAGCACAAATCTCAAAAGAATTATTCTTCTTTGGGAAAGAGTCAATATTTACCGTATTTTTCGTACCATAAGACACACTTTTTCCCCCCCAGAAGTGGGGGGAAAAAGTCCCTGCGTCTTATGGTCCAAATATAGCCTACACATATCCTTTAAAAAAAAAGTTTTTTTACTTGCCCGGCTCGGTGTGGTCTCTGTGTGCTTGCCCGGCTCTAAAATGGTTCTAAATGCTGCTGTTTACTTTACAGGGTTGATTACATGTGTTTATGACTGTGATGTTGGGTTTTCATGCACATAAAATATTTTAGGACACTTTGTTTCAGAATCTCTTTTTCTTCATTTCCCTTCTCTAAAAACTGGTGCGTCTTATGGTCCGGAGCGTCTTATGGTCCGAAAAATATGGTAAAATGGGTGAACTTGCTGAAACCGGTTTGGCTCAGTGGATAGAGCATTGGCCTGCGGACTTAAAGGTCCCGGGTTTGATTCCGGTCAAGGGCATGTACCTTGGTTGCGGGCACATCCCTAGTAGAGGGTGTGCAAGAGGCAGCTGATCGATGACTCTCTCTCATTGATGTTTCTAACTCTCTATCCCTCTCTTTTCCTCTCTGTAAAAAATCAAAATATATTTAAAATAAATAAAATAAAATAAAATAAAATGAGTGAACTTTTTTATGACTTCCCCATACATCTGGACAACTGAACCTTGTAGCAGTTCTACAATTTTAAGTTCAGGAATATACTTTCTAGGAA